GAGTATCCGTAAGCTGGAGCTGGTGCGGAGTAAGCCGGTGCAGAGTAAGCCGGGGCGGAGTAAGCTGGCTTGTAGGCTGGGGCGGCTGCTGGGTAAGCTGGAGCCGATGGGTAGGCTGGGGCCGACGGGTAGGCTGGGGCCGATGGGTAGGCTGGGGCCGATGGGTAGGCTGGGGCAGCTGGGTAGGCTGGGGCTTTGTACGCTGGCTTGTAGGCCGGGGCGGAGCTGTAGGACGGTGTGCCTTCTTTCTTCACTTCGGCGACGAAACCGTTGTAGTCGTCAGCGGTGTATTCGACGATTCTCTTGGTGCCATCGGGCTCGACCAGGCTGTAGGATCCTTTGACGTAACCGTTACCGTCGCTGTATTCGGATTGGCTTTTGATGTCGTATGTGGCATCGTCGTGCACGCTGTATTCGAAGTTGTACGGGGCTGGGGCGTAGGCGGGCTCTGGGGCGTAAGATTTGGGTGCGGAGTAAGCGGGTGCGGGGTATGCAGCGGGTGCTGGGTAGGCGGCAGCGGGTGCTGGGTAAGCAGCTGGTGTCGGGTAGGCGGGGGCGGCAAGTGCGGCGGCGAGCACGCAAGCGAAGACGGCGACGGTCTGCAACARGAGAACAGCACAAGTTAATATAATATGATATTATTAGTTATTTTGCACACAATAATTAGTTTATACAATATATTATGAATATAGTTATCTTATTCTATTCTAATGCACAGATAGATATTTTTTGTCTGCTTCTTGACTTAACGGACGCTGATGTTATTATAAGCTATATTATGTACCGAATCTACCGTGGTATAATAGATATTGATCRTTGTCCTGTCTGTTATGGTAAATGCAGTATTGCAGAATATTATTAATAATTAWATTTGAGTTGTCTAAACTTTATATGATATACTATAGGTTATAGTTTTAAATTTTAGGGTACAAGGTTAAATGGCGTTCTAAATATTAAGAATGTATAGCAATGACTGTGTAACGTGAGCCGCAGCCCTCTAATTAAAAATTGAGCCGTAATATCAAATTCAATTATGGTAAACGATCGTTTCTGAAATAAGGTATTCATACTTGCGTATAAATTTTTTAATAGCTCGATAAAACTTGTAAATGGTTTTTCGAGAACAGACTAATACTACCTATCATAAAACATATATATTGGTAATATGTATCTTATGAATATGATATACCCGTACCAACAATTTAATTTCAAATAACTATTGTTGGTTTAAAGGTTTTATCAAAAAAATATTTCAAAATAAGCACGAACTGAATCAAACACTAAATACAATTGTTATTTATCTCCGACGGAGTTATATTCTGTATAATTTACTTTAAAAAAAATTGTTATTAGGAATACTGTTGAATGACTTTAAAGAAATAAAATAAAAAAKACCAAATATAGTCTAAAATGATGTGTATTAGATCTTAAATCCAAAGTCACTTTCATAAACACATGCGAATTAATGCGTTGGACTTATTATTAAGTCTAATTTGTGTTTTTATGATCGAGCGACTTAAAGAAACGTACTTAGGTAAATAATTTTGAAAAAAATATCTAATTTATTATCTATA